CCAAAGCTTTCTCTCACATGCTTAACCTAGCCAATCTGGCTGAGGAAGTTCAGATCGCTTATCGCCGTAGGATCAAGAAGCTGAAGAAAGGAGATTTCGTTGATGAGAGCTCTGCTACTACTGAATCTGATCTCGAAGAAACTTTCAAAAAGCTTGTTGGAGATCTGAACAAGTCTCCTGAAGAGATCTTTGATGCTCTCAAAAATCAGACTGTGGATTTGGTTTTGACTGCTCATCCTACTCAGTCTGTCAGAAGATCATTGCTTCAGAAACATGGGAGGTTAGTTTCTTTAGACTTAACCGAGCTTGCTTTGTATAAATTGTATCCATGTTTTGGTGTTTAAGTTATCTTCTTTGTGCGTTTTTTATTCAGGATAAGAGACTGTCTGGCTCAACTATATGCTAAGGATATTACTCCTGATGACAAGCAAGAGCTCGACGAGGCTCTACAGAGAGAGGTAAAGCTTGTTGGCTTCATCATATTGACTTATTCGAGATCTTAACTGAAAAACTTGAACTCTTTTCACCGTAGATTCAAGCGGCATTCCGAACAGATGAAATCAAAAGAACACCACCGACGCCTCAAGATGAGATGAGAGCTGGCATGAGTTATTTCCATGAAACTATCTGGAAAGGTGTTCCTAAGTTTCTGCGCCGTGTAGACACTGCTCTGAAAAACATAGGGATCGAAGAACGTGTTCCATATAATGCTCCATTGATTCAGTTCTCGTCTTGGATGGGTGGTGATCGTGACGGTACATTCCTATCAATCCCTCTCTCTCTCTTAGCTTTCCTTTTTGCTCTCTCTCTCTCTAACCATATGAATTTGCAGGTAATCCAAGGGTTACTCCTGAAGTCACTAGAGATGTGTGTTTGTTAGCCAGAATGATGGCGGCGACTATGTACTTTAACCAAATCGAAGATCTTATGTTTGAGGTTTGATTTTGGTCTTTTTATTTTCGGTTTTAGTCTCCTCGTTTCCTTGTTTATGTATTGCCTCATTCATTTTGTCGTGCTTCTTTGGTAGTTGTCTATGTGGCGTTGCACTGACGAGCTGCGTGTGAGAGCTGATGAACTTCACGCAAATGCGAGGAAAGACGCTGCAAAACATTACATTGGTAAGCAAAGGAACTGTCTTGGAGCATTTGTATTTGTCTTAAAGCTTTGTGTTCGGAATCGATTTAACTTCGAACTGTTTTCTTGAGTGCAGAGTTCTGGAAGACAATTCCTCCAACGGAGCCATACCGAGTGATTCTCGGTCATGTAAGGGACAAGCTTTATCACACACGTGAACGCGCTCGTCAATTGCTCAGCAATGGAATCTCTGATGTCCCTGAAGAAGCTACTTTCACCAACTTGGAAGAGGTAAATTTGCAATTAGAATCCTCTGAGTCTCAGTTTTTGATTTGGTACTAAGCCGATCTTTTTTGTGCTCATTTTCGTAGTTCCTGGAACCGCTTGAGCTTAGTTACCGATCTCTATGTTCGTGTGGTGACCGTCCAATAGCTGATGGAAGCCTTCTTGATTTCTTGAGGCAAGTCTCAACCTTTGGGCTCTCTCTTGTGAGACTTGACATAAGGCAAGAATCTGACCGCCACACCGATGTATTGGATGCTATCACCACGCATTTAGACATCGGATCATACAGAGAATGGTCTGAGGAACGCCGCCAAGAATGGCTTTTATCTGAGCTAAGTGGCAAACGTCCGCTTTTCGGTTCCGATCTTCCTAAAACCGAAGAAATCGCTGATGTTCTCGACACGTTTCATGTCATAGCCGAGCTACCAGCAGACTGCTTCGGTGCTTACATTATCTCAATGGCAACTGCACCATCCGATGTATTAGCCGTTGAGCTTTTACAGCGTGAATGCCACGTGAAACGGCCTTTGAGAGTTGTTCCTCTCTTTGAGAAGCTAGCGGATCTAGAAGCAGCCCCTGCGGCGGTTGCTAGGCTCTTTTCAGTTGACTGGTACAAGAACCGTATTAACGGTAAGCAAGAGGTTATGATCGGTTATTCGGATTCAGGGAAAGATGCTGGACGTTTATCCGCTGCTTGGCAGTTATACAAAGCTCAAGAAGAGCTTGTGAAGGTTGCTAAAGAATACGGTGTGAAGCTAACCATGTTTCACGGTCGTGGTGGCACGGTTGGAAGAGGAGGTGGACCGACCCATCTTGCTATATTATCACAGCCACCGGATACGATTAACGGTTCGCTCCGTGTCACTGTTCAAGGTGAAGTCATTGAGCAATCTTTTGGTGAAGAGCATTTATGCTTCAGGACGCTTCAGCGTTTCACTGCTGCTACACTCGAGCACGGTATGCATCCTCCGGTTTCACCTAAACCGGAATGGCGCGCTTTGCTCGATGAAATGGCTGTTGTTGCAACCGAGGAGTATCGGTCTGTTGTGTTCAAAGAACCTCGGTTTGTGGAATACTTCCGCCTCGTAAGTATTGCATTCACTTTGGAATCTTAAAAATTTAAACTTTCAGAAAAATCTTGAATCTTTAAAAATCGGTTGCAGGCTACACCAGAGCTAGAGTATGGGCGTATGAACATTGGAAGCAGACCTTCGAAGAGGAAACCAAGCGGTGGCATAGAATCTCTGCGTGCGATTCCGTGGATCTTTGCTTGGACTCAAACGAGATTCCATCTTCCTGTATGGCTTGGATTCGGAGCAGCGATTAGACACGTGATCGAGAAAGACGTCAAGAACCTACATATGCTTCAGGACATGTACCAACACTGGCCTTTCTTTAGAGTCACCATTGATCTAATCGAAATGGTGTTCGCTAAAGGAGATCCAGGTATCGCTGCTTTGTACGATAAGCTTCTTGTCTCTGAAGAACTATGGCCTTTTGGTGACAAACTCAGAGCCAATTTCGAAGAGACCAAGAAACTCATCCTCCAGGTTAATTAAAACAACAGAGCACTCTTGATTTTACTTGTTGGTTTTTGAAGATTTTGTGTTCTGAATCGCGTTAGCTGTTTTGCAGACCGCTGGACACAAGGATCTTCTTGAAGGAGATCCTTACTTGAAACAGAGACTGAGACTTCGTGATTCTTACATTACGACTCTCAATGTATGTCAAGCTTACACATTGAAGAGAATCCGTGATCCTAGTTACAATGTGACTCTACGACCTCACATTTCAAAGGAGATTGCGGAATCGAGCAAATCAGCACAAGAACTCGTCGAGCTTAACCCGACGAGCGAATACGCGCCTGGACTTGAAGATACACTCATCTTGACCATGAAGGG